CAGTCCCCAACAATCAACACCAGCATCTCAAACCAAATCACAAATTACACACAAATGTTCACAAAGGCGGTACAGAGGCGAGCTGCCTATCATGTCAGCCGCCACTAATGATGTGCAGCCGGGCTCTTAAACTCTCTTCCTCTGATGCTGAAACGGTAGCAGCTGTGGAGAGGACTCACAGGATCATTGCTGCACCAATAGGAGAAGCCGTGGAGTCGGCGGCTCCTCCTCTCTGCTCCGACAGTGACAAGTAATCCATTAGTTAGTGTTAAAATGCCCAAGCTTTGTGCAGCAACAGGCTGTAATAACAAGAACAACTGTAGAGAGTCTTTGCTCTGCACGGCCGCCTACACCGGCTACCTGACCGCAGCAGGCTCCTGGATACGCGGTACGAAGTCGCTGCTAACACAGTTAGCATTCATAATTCGAGGTAAACTTTATATCTTAGTGTTAAAATAATCTTAGTAGCTAATTGCATACATGTCCACATTTGGTAAATATCACATATATGAGGAGAAAGCTTGTAATATTAGCTGAAGTTACTGTGTGTAAGCTAACTGTGTGGTGTAACCGCTTGTATTAAAACCATAGACCGAGGGAAAACATGTTATAACGTGTTTTAAAATGAGTTCTGCAAAGCGAAGGTGACGTCACCGACCTTAGTGTTAACAGAGACAGCGGGTTGTCAATGTCGGTAAGTCACGGTCACTAAACGATCCCGTTATTACAGTGAACTGTCGTGTCTGGACGCGCTGTTAAAGAGCAGAGCAGCGGACGTGTGTGTCGTGTTTGTTCATATTAAGTTTGGTTCAGTGTTAGTCGGCTAGTTTTCAGCTCTAGTTCATTTCATTATTGATGACAGGAGTCAAAACATCTGTTGGAATGATTCTGTCTCTGTCAGAATAAAGAACATCACTGAGAGCTGAGAACCATCATGACATGTGCACCTGCACAATGACACCAAACTGAGTATTACTTTCTATTCTGTTGTTATTTCATGTAAAACAGTTCAGCAGACTGTTTATTACAACTAAGCTGAGGGAATAATGTATTTTCAGATATCTGTGATCATCTAATCAGAGTGCTGTTTCTTTGGTCTTTTGCTCTATACTCTACAATATGATATTGATATGATTTCTCTCTATTATAATGTTTTTTTCCATCCAGCCAAGGTCTGGATCTTTGGGGACACCTACAACCTCTTGCAGCAATGATGGAGGCCCTGCACCACCTCCACCTGCAGTGTCCACACATGAAGATCTTCTCTTCCCAAACATACACACAGTGTCTTATATGATAATATAGTATTTTTTAATGTAACTCTTGTGGCCATAACATTGTTCAGTCTGATCAGCTGTGCTCTTCCTGGTTCCCTACACCCTCACTGTCGTATTACACTCTCCGTTATAGCAATCGCTAAGTTATCAGCTAAGGCTAGCACTAGCTGGCTAGCTTGGTTAGCAAGGTGCATCTTCACCTGAACTGTGATATTAACAGGGATGCTAATTTTGGCTAGCAAAGAAATAGGCTTAAAACAAAATGTACTTACCGGAAAAAAATTAACCGCCGACTCCTCTGAGTGTCTTTAAGAACAACTGAACACAGAACAAGACATTTTAAGGCAAACAACATGTTGGAGCTAACTTTGATGAACTGAAAACACAATGACAAGTCACATGTCCGACACATCGCTCTGACCTCACATCCGGATTAACAGGCAGGTCCCCCTGTGTGTCTATTACGTGGTAGCCACGCCCTAAAGCCACTCTGCTTTAAAGTGTGTTTTATTGAAGAAAACTTCAAACTAGCGATTCAGACCATAAACACATAATGAAAACGTTTACTGAGGTAACAAATTAAGTTACAAGTACTGTCATTTTCACATAGACTTCAATACAATCGGACTTCTTTTTGCAACCAGTGGAGTCGCCCCCTGATGGTCATTTGATAGAATGCAAGTTTAAGGCACTTCCACATTGGCTTCATTTTCCAGACTGAGAGTTGACATCCATTTTTATATATAGTCTATGGTCTGTGTCTGTGTGCCTGTGTAAACCCATAGGTATTAATAAAACTTTACCATACAGTATTAAATTTTTATTCATACCCTACAAAAACAATATTTGACCTAATTGGTCAAAATGAAATAGCCTACAAATAAAACTAAATACACACATTTCTTTCTTTTAAAACAAATCATATTTTCCTATTGTTGCTATGTTACCACGCTGAAACAAATGCTATTTGCTGTCTCATCGTGAGCTTTTGAACATGATTGGTTGATCTGACTGTCATCAAGGCAACTGGCCAATGACAACTGTGCGCAGGTCAGTTTAAATGTACAGCAGGTAGTTAGTCACTGTAATGAAGAAAACAACAACATTAACTGTGTTCAGATAGAGCAGCAATAAACTCTACCGGTAACAGAAACTCCAGAGACTGGCGATGAGACGCTACAGTGACGTCAGCACGTAAACGGTCACTCACTGCTGTTAATGAAAGGTGACGTACTCTGAGTAAACGTGTTACTGCGGCACATTTTTAAAAGGGGAAGAGGAGGGTAAAACATCTTATATGGGGATGAGAATAATAATATATGATAAAAGTATTAAACAACATCTTTAGGCTGCCAGGGAGCCAGTATCAGTTCCCAGGTGAAAACAGCACCAAAAGCAATCAGTTCATTCCAGTCAGGCTCTTTGCAGCCTGTGCACACAGCTGATAATTATTAATGTACACTCAGTTGACAATTTATTAGGAACATCTAAGTCATCATGGCGTGACAGAAAGAGACAGAAAAACAAGGTTAACAAAAAAAATTATGTGTGAGGAGTGAAATCTGTTGCTGTGATGACGAATGTTGAACAATGTTTCAAAGCAGTTGAACAGCTTCTCCTCAGTCTGTGATGTCACTCACCCTGTGTGATGTCACTCACTGCGAACATTCCACCACATACACACTGATGTAAAAATCTGGAAAGGACCAGAAACGCTCATGAAAGCTGAACTGTCACTGTGTAAAAACTGTGAATGGGATTTCAAAGTTGAACACAACCAGAAATATAAAAACGTTCTAAACATTTTGACTTTTGAATGGAGTTTCCAGCTGAAAGTATGACTGAGAAGAAGAGGTTGAAAAATGCATGAAAAGTTGTGAGAACTGGAGATTTTTAACATTCCGTCTATTCATCTTAATGGGAAAAAAATGTAAGAAAAACACTGAATATTTTAGAAAGTATGAAATACATATATAAAAAAACTAAAGAAATCCAATGATGTCTGAACTGAGCTGAACATTATAAGGTTTGAATGGAGTTTCTATGTTGAAGCTTCTAGAAAGAGATAGGAATGAAAAAAATGGTGGAGTGATAAAGAAGTTTTGAACCTGAGGAGAAGATGTAGTGCGACTGAAGACTGAAATATACAGATTTAAAAAACGGTCACAATTCAACACCATACAGTACATGCTCCAAAATGATCCAGTGGTACAGCGACGGGTCTTTTCTAATGGGAAGGAAAAATAACTCTAAGAGAAAACTTATGAAATCTAAAGAAAGATTTTAACCACAATATTATGATACATGGATTAAACAGAATTGTAATGGTGGACTTTTGATTAATTCTGGGATATTTTGGTTTTGTTTATTTTGTTTAACTGAAGATTTCAATGTGGGAACTTTTCTCTACAGATTTAATTAATTGTTTGTAACAGGAGAAATAAGTGAATGAGAGACTGAAGAAACTGTGAGGGCAGGTTTGTACTGTTTGAATGTTCTGTACTAATATCATTATAATTATACTAATATTCCTGTGAGTTATAATGATGATATGGAGCCAGATTTGGACTGAAGTAACATCTTGCATATGTTGTTCTATGTTACAGATTCTCTCTTATGAAACAAACCAAACATAAACGTTGACTGTTACCATGGTGACATAGCAAGAAGGAAACATGCTGAGAAACTGGGAACATGAAGTTATGTGAGTATAAACCAGGCTGTTTATCACCAGACAACAGGAAGGATCAAACAGTGCATAAACACATACAGGCTACATACATCCAAACACACCAGACATAGTGAGGAGAGGTGGGTGAAGCAAGAGAGGAGGGAAAGAAGAAGAAAAGAAAGAGGAAGGAAATATGAAACACGTTGGTGAGGAAACGACTGATGTGTTTTAAGAGACTGAAGAACCTCAGAAATAAGGGAAGAAAGGAAGGAAGGGAGGAAGGGAAGGAGACAAGGAGACGGGATGAAGGGGAGGGAGGAGGAGTAAATCAGTGTTGGAGACTCTGACGCGGAAGAAGAATCAACCTCTGAGAAGGAAGAAGGAACCGAAATGAAAGCAGCCGCCGTAGGTCCGGGTTCACACTTGTTGATTAATGTTTATATCCAGTCCTGAGGCCGAGTCCTGGACGTCTTCCCACCCGGTTCGTAGTGTGTTTGTCCCGGGTCCTGGAGCTGCTGGTTTCAGGCTGCATGGCTGGCTGACAGACAGACTGTGGTTGTTGCTGGACGCTTTCTCTCATCTCTCATCCGTGTCACGGTCTTCACACCGCCTCTTCATCATTTCATCTTTTATTCATCCTGCTTCCCCCGCGGGAAACCCCGGGAATCACACGGAGGACGGCGCCCTCTTCCCCGTGCAGCCCCGCTGGGTGGCACCGCTGTCTCCGCGCGGAGGGACTCTGATCTCGGCGTGGTGGACGACCTCTTCACCGTGAGAAGACGACGTCGAAGGTTTGAAACCCGGACACTGCCTCCTCCCGCAGCACCGGGGCTGTATTTAAGAAGCTGGATACACGGTTAATATTTCAGGAGGTGGGTATTTAGCAAGACTGTGAAGCGGGAAGCTCCGAGAGACACACCGACCGTGGCGCCCTCTCCGCCGGGCAGCACCACTGGGTGGCACCGCTGGGTCCAGCCGGGGGGATAAGTCCTGTTCGCGGGTTAGCAACGTCACATTTACTGGATCTCGTCTAACTAATCTCGTCTGGATCACGACGTCGTGACCGGTGAGCCCGCTCCGTCGTTCTGAACCCGGGTAATTAGCTTCTGAAGCGGAGAGAGCTCCGGGACACACACCGAGTACGGCGCCCTTCCGCCGGGCTGAGCCTCTGTGTCCGGCCCGGTGGTCTGTCTCACCACCGGGGTGGAATGTTTTCTAGACCTCCGGGCTTCTCTGCACCAGAAGTGAACCTCCCCACGCCCCTGTCGGTGAGCTCGTGCGGAGAGACATGGCGGACTCCGGTCGGGCCAGACCGGCGGACCCTGACGCCGCGGACAGCCGGACCGCGAGTCCTTTGACCGTGAGGAAGAGGACGCAGCAGTCTCCCGGGCTCCGGCCCAAGTACCACAGCTCTGCTCTGGGCCACTGCTTCAGGAAAGTCACCCTGACCAAACCCACCTTCTGCCACAGCTGCAGCGACTTCATCTGGGGTCTGATCGGCTTCCTGTGTGAAGGTAAGTCTGTTCGAGACACACCACAAACCTGTCAGAGCTACACCTGAATCTAGTCCCACCGGGAACCGAACCACCAACCCTTGCTGCTGTGCTGGTGCCTTGCTTTACTGCAGGTGTGTGTGGTGTCAGGTGGGCTGTCAGACATTTTAACTGTCACCTGCACATTAAACAGGCGGATGTTGATCCTGTGACGTAGAGCTGATGTCACAATGAGACCAGACCTGATCCAACAGTCAGGATCAGCTGTAGGTCCGAAACTTCATCCAGACTGAGAACGATGTGTTCAGAGTCAGGATGGAGGTGGACCTGGACCAGGAAGGCCTCTTTTCCTTTCCTTTCCTTTCCTTTCCTTTCCTTTCCTTTCCTTTCCTCTCCTTTCCTCTCCTTTCCTCTCCTTTCCTCTCCTTTCCTCTCCTTTCCTTTCCTTTCCTTTCCTTTCCTTTCCTTTCCTTTCCTTTCCTCTCCTTTCCTCTCCATTTCTTTCCTCCTTTCCTTTCCTTCCTTTCCTCCTCATTTCCTTCTCACTAAGCCCCAACTTAATCATGAATTCAACAGGCAAACTGACGAACACACCTCTCTGCCCAGTAACACACTGTGTTCGTGTGCGTGTGTGTGTGTGTGCGTGTGTGTGTGTGTGTCTGAGTAGGTGTAAAGTGTCTGTTGCACAATTCGAGCTACAGTCTAGTTGTGATTTACTTCCTCTGGTCGGCATGGCAACAGGAGACTGGCAGGGATGCTCTGTGCTGGAAGAATGTGTGTGTGTGTGTGTGTGTGTGTGTGTGCGTGTGTGTGTGTGTGTGTGTGTGTGCGTGCGTGCGTGCGTGCGTGTGTGTGTGAGCAGAGACACGATCATCATCCTCACTGCATTAAAAGCTGCAGCAGAACAAAACAAAGCAGCGTCCTGTAGAGGCTCAGCTGGATTACACAATGTTTCTTCTTTAAGCTGTCACTTGGATTAACATGAACCTGTGATGTCATCAAAGTGCTTCATCTGTCTGGGAATATTCCCACGGTGATAAAACACCAGACTCTTCATCATTTATGTTTCCTGAACCAGAAGCTACAGATCCAGGTGTGACGGAGGATAAACCTGGTTCATCTTGTATGTCAGCAGATGTTTCTTTAAAGGAGCTGTATGCATGTTTATGGTAACGCTACATAGCTAACGTTAGCATCATAAGCCTTTTACTTTACAACTGTTCAGCCAAGAGCCGGGAACAGAAGAAGCCAGACAGGCTGAAAATAAACCTGCATGTCAGACTGACTCACCTGGAAGAGAAAACAAAGGCAGGGAAAGTATTATTGTGAAAATCCACATTAGTCTTCCTGCTCAACGAGGGTTAGCACTGAAACCTGACTGGGTTTAACTTCCAGCTCAGTGGTTCATCATCCTTTTGTACTTGTCTGTTTGTGACCAGGTGAACAGGTACACGTTGAGTAACCGAGTGACTGATAAAAAAGAAGGTAGAAGGAACAATAAGACGGATTTTATTAGCATTCTCTTCATCTATAATAATCAGTGTACAGGTTTCTTCAGTACAGCACAGTGAGAAGAAATGAATAAATAAAAAAGACATAAAACAAAACAAAGATGGTAAAGCACAAGTATCAGGAGTTTATCAGGAGCACAGAACAGTTTATAATGAACATTATAATCTTCATGAAGGAGGAGTTATTACAGGACTGTTGTGTGTAGGTGGGTGTACCTGTATCACCCATCATTACTCATCATCATATACAGTAGTGTGCTGTTGTTGCTTGTCATTGAGCCTTCAGTTGTATTTAATGATGTATTTACAGCTCTGTCACAGAAAGGTCTCAAACTCACGGTTGTGAATATAAGAAGGTTGTGACGTGTTCTCACATCTTTAAAAACACCAGAGGCAGTTGTGTTTTCTTCCTTCTAGCATGATGCTGAACGTTAGCAGAAGCTAAGTTGGTATAGTCCCTTAGCAACAGTGTTATAGCAACTTAAACCTTGTGAATAATAAACACGTTACTCATGTTACTAGAACCTCAGGAGTTTCATTTAAAGGCAGAATTATCTGCCAGGAAAACTATCGTTAGCTAGCTAATGTGTGAACCTGCTAACGCTGCTAGTTCCTGAAACTATTAAACAAAACAAAATAATAAAATGCTGTAGATAGATATATACTTTATTTATCTATGAATATTAAACAGATTGTTATAATTAACCAGTATTGCTTTACCTACTTAATACTGTAAAACATGTAGGCTACAGTATTTGTTCATGATGAGTCAGCAGAATTTCTTTGCATGCTAGTATTAGCTTACTTTACCTCCCATAGCTATTAACAACACAGATGTGTTGTTTGACAGCCAAATATCTTTTTTTCATTTTTTCATTTTAACTTTGTTCATATAAAAAACAAACACAGTTGCATTATTACTAATATTTTCTTCAGTTAGCAAACAGTGTGAATGAAGCTAATGTTTTAGACTTAGTTGTAGAAATTTCACATTTTGTTTGATGTTTAGCAGGTGAAGTGTTTAAAACATTCACCATCTTAGCTTAGCGTGTTAGCATGCTAACATTTGCTAATGAACACATTATTTTAGCCAGTTTAGGAACCTGTGTATGTGTCATTCTCTGGACATTGTTTATGACAGTAAGCCTATTTATTTTATCTGTATTGTATTATTGTTTACATGTTGCCAGGTCTCTTAAAAAAGAGATTTAAATCTTTAATTTCTTGAGACTTTTATCTGATTCAACTTAAATTATTCAAACATTTCATCCAACCTTTTCATAAGGTTACCTCTTATTTCATGTTATTTATTACATGTCTCATATTTGTGGACATATGTTTTTTATTTTTTTTATAACCCTAATCAATAATAATCACTTCTTCAGTTTTAGTTTGATTTGTAGTTCTCTTTGTTCTGACTGAGTTTAAGTGGCAGGTTTCAGGTCATGTGTTGTCATCTGCAGCAGAAGCTGATAGTGATGTAATCTAACCACCTGAACAGCCTGAAGGTCAGAAGTGTGGTGGATCTGTAGGGAATTGAACCTCCCACCCTGACAGTGTCAGTGCCTTACTCAGTGGTGTCTGTCCTCTCTGTCTCCTCCTCAGTGTGTAACCTGATGTGTCATGAGAAATGCCTGAAGACGCTGCGATCCGTTTGTTCCTGCATGACTCCGTCTGTCGTCCAGGTGAGTAACAAACACACTGACACTCTGTTTATTGATCAGCACTGATCACTGAGCCTGACTGGCTGCTGCACCGATCAATAACCCAACAAGTTGTTTCTTCCTCACCTGTTCTCTGAGGAAATATGAACCTGTGAGCATATGTGATTCACCTGCCAACAGCAGCAAAGAGATGAGATTCATTATTTCTTTATTATCTTTCTGACGACACAGTGAGTCTGGTTTGACTTTTAAAAACTCAGGTTGTTTTTTCTTCATGTCATTCCAACTCGTTATCAAAATGAACTTGAGATGAATCACTGTCAGACGACGTCCACATCTGTCAAACCCCTGATCCAGATCTGTTGTTGTTGTGATCAGTGTAGAACAGTGTATGGCATTTACAGCGATGGAGCATTTAGAGAGAGAGATTCTTTATTTAATACTCAGCAGAAAACCTGTAACTAAATGTACTACATGCTTTATAATGTGGCCTATGATGTCATATTGTGTTCCTGTAATCTTAATCTTAAATCAGAGAATAAATAAACAAGATTAAGGTTAACACTGTTTAGCATTTGTGTATATATATATATATATATATATATATGTATATATATATATTTGTACTGTATATATTTATTTTTCTTTTTTCTTTAGTGGAGTACTCAAGTACAGATCAAAATGTGTCTGAGAGTTAGTGTCAAATGTTAATTAATGTAAGTCCGTCTGTGATCACGCTCCACGTCGCCTCTATATTCTGATGTGTTTTGGTGAAGTGCAGCTGCAGGCCCCCCCAGTTCAGAGGCCCCCCCAGTTCAGAGGCCCCCAGCCCCGTCACCCTGTGTTTGATGTTAACATGTTGTTATGTAACGTGTGGTGATGATGTTTCAGTAACGTGTTGTGAACCATCCTAACCGTCTGCTGAGCCTCGATATGACACTGACCAGTTAATGAAAAGCTCCATCTTGTAGTATATTACATAGGGACTTTGTAGGGGACTATTTTTAGCAGCGCTGCAGTGAGTGTTTGTGGCAGAAGGATGTGAAACAGCGTGTTGATGTAACACATGTTGATAACGTGATCGTGAGTGTGTGTGCTGCCCCCTGCAGGTGCCTGTGGCTCACTGCTTCGGTCCAGCTGCTCAGAAGAAGCGTTTCTGCTGCGTCTGCAGGAAACAAACGGAGGGAAACACGGCGCTGCGCTGTGAAGGTCAGACCAGTACCACAACCAGTTAGACCAGTTCCATCAGCATCTCACATGAAGCAACCAATCAGAACACGGCTACAAACTGACCAATCAGAATGCAGCTACACACTGACCAGTCAGAATGCAGCTACAAAACGACCAACCAGAACACAGCTACAAACTGACCAATCAGAACACAGCTACAAAACAACCAACCAAAACACGGCTACAAACTGACCAATCAGAATGCAGCTACACACTGACCAGTCAGAATGCAGCTACAAAACGACCAACCAAAACACGGCTACAAACTGACCAATCAGAACGCAGCTACACACTAACCAATCAGAACGCAGCTACAAAATGACAAATCAGAACGCAGCTACAAACTGACCAATCAGAACGCAGCTACACACTAACCAATCAGAACGCAGCTACAAAATGACAAATCAGAACGCAGCTACAAACTGACCAATCAGAACGCAGCTACACACTAACCAATCAGAACGCAGCTACAAAATGACAAATCAGAACGCAGCTACAAACTGACCAATCAGAACGCAGCTACACACTAACCAATCAGAACGCAGCTACAAAATGACAAATCAGAACGCAGCTACAAACTGACCAATCAGAACGCAGCTACACACTAACCAATCAGAACGCAGCTACAAAATGACAAATCAGAACGCAGCTACAAACTGACCAATCAGAACGCAGCTACACACTAACCAATCAGAACGCAGCTACAAAATGACAAATCAGAACGCAGCTACAAACTGACCAATCAGAACGCAGCTACACACTAACCAATCAGAACGCAGCTACAAAATGACAAATCAGAACGCAGCTACAAACTGACCAATCAGAACGCAGCTACACACTAACCAATCAGAATGCAGCTACAAAATGACCAATCAGAACACAGCTACAAAATGACCAATCAGAAAGCAGCTACAAAACGACCAATCAGAATGCGGCTACACACCGACCAATCAGAATGCAGATAAAAACTGACCAATCAGAATGTGGCTTTTCAAAATAAAAGGTACAAAGTCCTTCACATTAAAAAATAAAAGCAAGACTGAATATAATAATAATACTAATGTTTTAAATCTATCATTATATTAAGTCATCGTCCTGTTTCTTATCGATTCAGTATTTTAGACTTTTATCTCATTTCTTTATTGTTTGTCCTCAGTTTTATTTTGTAAAGCACTTTGTAACTGTCTTTTGATATATAAATAAAGCTTATTATTCTTATTATTAATATAAAAACAAACAACAAAAAGTCCAGTAGCAGTTCAGCAGCTGCTGATCAGACTGTTGATCACAAACTGTTATAAAGTCAGTGATGAAGACGAGACTCAGACTCAGCACAAACACTTTATATGAAACTATATCGACACACTGTAACTGGAACCTGCTGTGTTTTGACCTGTGAGTGAACCTGTGACCTTTGACCTCACATTCCTGACATGAGCTGTGACTCAGATGACACTGATGTCACTGATATGTGTGTGTGTGTGTGTGTGTTTCAGTGTGTGAGCTACATGTCCATGCTGACTGTGCTGCCTTCAGCTGTGCCGACTGTCGCAGATGTCACCTGGACGGGACTCTGGAACAGGTGAGAATGTCTTCATTAAAGAAAACTCACTGACCCACAATACACCACACACACCCACGCCTCTGTACACCTGAGGCAGAATAATGACATTCACATCACAGGTCGTCTCACACAGGTGTGACCAGGTGTTTAGTCTCACACTGATCCACACAGACATCTGCACACAGCTGGTCACAGATCACAGTCAGAGTCTGTCTTCAGTGTCTCCCTCCACTATGACCTGAAGACAGGTGTGTATATAGTTCAACCAATCAGTTTACAGCTCTATTGTAACAACTATAAACATGCACCTGCTTCACCTGGCTGAAGAGGTCCAGGTGCTGTCTGATTGACTGTGCTGGTCACATGTGTTTTTTTTTTTTTTTTTTTTTTTTTTTTTAAAGTATATTTTTTTGGGCTTTTATGCCTTTAATGGACAGCACAGTGGAGAGAGACAGGAAACGGGGAGGCAGAGAGAGGGGGAATGACATGCAGTGAAAGGCCGTCCGATGCGGGATTCGAACTGGGGCCGACTGCAGCGAGGACTGTAGCCTCTACACATGGGGCGCCTGCTTAAACCACGACGCCACACGACGCCCCGGTCACATGTGTTTGTTGAGCATGTGATGAGTCATCAGTCGACAGGTGTAAATCACATCAGGTGATTAACCAGTGACACAACAAACACAGAGGCTCTTTGTGTGTGTGTGTGTGTGTGTGTGTGTGTGTTTGTGTGTGTGTGTCTGTGTAGTGTCAGATTAATGACTAATGTGATTCAGAGTTACTGTATTGATCACAGCTCAGTCTGACTGATCATGTGACACCTGCTGCCATCACGTCGTCTTTAATCAAACACTTCCTGTGGTGAGCAGTAAATTAAGAGGTCTGCTGTTAGTTCTGTGTGTGTGTGTGTGTGTGTGTGTGTGTGTGTGTGTGTGTTGATCTGAGCTGATTGATCAGTTCCAGTCATTGATTAAAATCAGTACAGTGGAGCTGAGAGCTCCTGTAGATGATGATGGGAGTCAGGAGAGCAGCAGCAGAGAGACTGGGTCAGACTGGTCCTGCTCTCAACGCAGCAGCAGTTATCAATAACTAACCAATACGTTCAGTCGGTGCGTCAGATTTCTGTCAGTGTTGAACTCCGTGTGTCTGAGGCGTCGACTGAAGACGTCAAACACGTGATAGATCTGAAGGGTCAAAGGTTCATCTCTGAACCAGAGCTGTGACTGAAGATGATTTCCATCATCAATGAATCTGCTGGTTGTTTTTTTACTGAATTAATTATTTAGTTTATGAAACATCATAAAGATGATTTAAAAACCAGATGTCTTGTTTTGCTCGTCCTGAAATATTTGGCTTTTTCACCATTTTTGCTGAAACAATTAAATGATTATAAAAATAAAAGTTTCCAATAATTTTTGTGTTGATTGACGAGTCGTTTCAGCAGCTGTCAGTAAACTGCACACTGCGTCGAGAGGGAGGTTTAAATAAAGAAGTGTGTCACATGAACCTCTCACTGTTCTGTCAGTGTGATACAGAACAGAGCCGCTGGCTCACAGGATCTGCTTTCTGTCGCTGCAGGATACGTTTCCCCACCACTGGAGGGAGGGGAACCTGTCGTCAGCAGCCAGGTGTGAGGTGTGTCGGCGTTCCTGCGGCTCGTCCGACGTCCTGGCGGGGATGAGGTGCGAGTGGTGCGGCATCATGGTGAGAACCAATCACAGCGTTCTACAGGATATGAGGTCACACCTCACCTGTACCTGGTTTCTGTTCCTGTTTGACGTTTCCTCTGGACGAGGTCTCAGCTTCAACATCAAGAAAAACATTTGAAAAGAAAAGTGAAGATGATGAAAGAGAAAAATCCTCCATCAACACATTACATTTATGTGTGTGTGTGTGTGTGTGTGTGTGTGTGTGTGTGTGTGTGTGTGTGTCGTCTGCAGAGCCATGCAGCGTGTTACCTCAGCGTGCCACCAGAGTGCACTCTGGGACGTCTGCACCGCATGCTGCTGCATCCGGCCTGCGTCCGCCTCGACTCCAGAAACTTCAGCAAGATGCACTGTTACCGCATCACAGAGAGCCACGAGCTGGGTACAAACACACACGCACGCACACACGCACACACACACACACACACACACACACACACACACCTCTGAACCACATCCTCTGACACAGAGCGGGTGAGAAACACTCGTCTCATTTCCTGAAGTTTCTCTGGAACTCAGCATGAAGTTTTTTCACCAAAGATGAAGAAACTTTCTGTTTTTAACAAACTTTCACCGACGTTTAGAGTCTGAGTCTCTGAGTCTGAGTCTCTGAGTCTCTGCAGCTTCTTTTAAAGGCTCAGTTCACAGTGAGGTCTGTGGATAGTCCACAGTCACTGTTGTCATCACCACAGACTGAACTCAGATCTCAAAACCAGTCAATTAAAGACAAGATACAACACAGTCTTTATTTATTTTATTTATTTAACCCTTTAAACTTTATTTCCAAGGGTTAGGGTACTAAACTAAATGGTCTTTGAAGTTTAGGTTTCATTTCTCCGTCAGAGGAAAACGCAAAAAGAAAAAACACAACTTCAATCCATCAAATGAAACCGAAACAAAAAACGACATGATATAATTTAAGACCTTAGACTTAAAAACAGACTGTATTATATAACAATACAAGATTAAGATCCTTTTTTCTATTCTAAATTTCTGTGGGTCCAGGTGGGCGGGGCTTGGTGACTGCTTTGTTGTGACATCACAAAGTTCCAGAAGTCCTGACGGCTGGTTTTAAGGCTCAGTTTCTGAATACAGGCTGTGTGCATTTCTCTGTGGACTGAGGCTTTGATACTTTCACAGTATTAATATAGAAGCTAGAGCTGATCTATAATCACACTACACATGGACACAGACCTTTACACTGGAGGAGCTTTAATGTGTGTTGATCAGGACGCTCTGGACATGTCAAGTAATGTGACTGTTTCCCTCCATGTGTCTGCAGATAACTCAGATGACGCCGATGCTGCTGTGTCTAAAGACGGTCAGCTGACGGCTTCAGAGTCAGGTCCGTTCACTCACACTGAATCTCTGCATCCTCCATTTTCCATTCAGAGATTTTAGCAGCTGACCTCAGACAGAATGCCGAGCCTGAATGTGTGTGTGTGTTTGTAAACAGGTAAGCAGTCTCTCAAGGTGTTTGACGGTGATGATGCAGTCAAGCGGAGCTACTTCCGACCGGTCTCCATACTTCGAGCCACGAGGAATGAAGACGTGGTGGTGAGAGACCACACACACACACACACACACACACACACACACACACACACACACACACACACACATTTGAACTACTGTCAGTTCTACATATACTAAACAAGCTGTCTTTCAAAATAAAAGCAGGCAATTATAATTCTGTAGAAGCAGCATTGAACTGTTGAATTAAAGCACAGACAGTTTCCAGTGTAAAATACCTGGGAGCCTGATTCAGCCCTGAGTTTTGCCTCTCAGGAACCACACACCTGTCCTCACCTGGTGAATTGCATTCGTTCATTCATTCATTCATTCATTAAAGAATTTAATATGAACATTTATCACTGATCACGAACCTAGATAAACCTCAGTCAAACCTCAGGGTTCAGGTCTAACGCTGCAGTACCTGTGTTGTCCTGCAGGAGGCGGCACTCAGGGCCTTCTACCTTCCCGATGACCCTCAGGACTATGAGCTGCAGGAGGTTGGAGGCCTGCAGCGTTTCCACAGCGACGACATCCTTAACCGCAACGGCGGTCCGGACAACAGAAGCTCTCTGAGGGACGGAGGCGACTCCTGGCTGCTGAGGGCCAAACCCAGAGAATCTGAGGTCATCAAGGTGCACGCTGGCTGGCCCAGGTGAGGCATGCTGGGAGGTGGAGTTCAGTGGGGGATCAGAAATGATCGACATTTCATACTGTGGGAAAATTTTACAACGTTTTTCTTGTAACTAAAAAATACAAAAACAAATATATCGGGGTCCAAGCAGCTCGCAAGCATTTAAATACCATATGTATGAAGGGCTTTTGAATTTTTGCTGAATCAGGACTTACGTCATCTGGGGATAAAAATATAAAAAGATGATTAAAAACAACGATAACAGAAAAAAAGACGATTAAAGAAGAAAAAGACGATTTGAAAAAGGTGATTTGAAAAGGACAATTTAAAAAAGATGAAAAGACGATTAAAAGAATACTATTAAAAAAGTTAAAAAGTTGATTAGAAAAGACGATTAAACAAGAAACAGACAATTAAAATATACGATTAAAATAAATAAAAGTACGATTAAAAAATAAAAAGATGATTAAAAAACACGATTTATAAAAGAAAAAAAAGACAATTAAAAAAGACAATAATGATGATTCCAGTTTGATCATGATCTCATCTGTTTGTTTGTTTGTTTTCAGGTTGGCTGCAGCTTTCATCTGTGTCTCCATCTCAAAGAGCAGCACAGCATCTTCAGTTCTCACTGAGGTCCTCGGAGAACTGGACAGACAGGTAGAAACCAGGAAGCATGAGAACAGACGTGAAGTTTAGACCAGAAAGCTGTAAAGACCTCCTCCAATGAAAATCCAGTGTTTAACCTTGTTAATGTCCATATGATGTTGTTATATCATACAGACACATGATGATGAAATCATCATCAACACCATGATTGAGTGTTTCCACCTTGAACTGCAGTGAATCAATGACAGTCTCATAAACACAGATTCAGACAGCCAGGGTGTCATACGTCACAGACCTCAGGAACCAATCCTGTCCACCTGTGGGGATGGGGGGTGGGGCTAAATACACCTGAAACCTTGTCAGTACAGAGAGAGAGAGTTAGCAGTAGCACAACCGCTAACACTGTGTCAGTTACTGCCAGTTACAAGCTAACAAACAACATAAACAGAGAAAAGATGCTAACTACACAAACCGTTCTGAAATGATGCTAACTACACTAACCGTTCTAAAAATATGCTAACTACGCTAACAGTTCAGAAGAGATGCTAACTGTGTCAACCATCATGAAAAGGTGATAAGTACGCTAACCAGTCGTAAAAGATTTGAACTATGCTAACTGTTATGAAAATATGCTAACTGTGCTAACTGATTTGATAAGATGCTAACTGTGTTAACCATCATGAAAAGATGATAACTACGCTAACCATTCTGAAAAGATAACTGTGCTATCTGCACTGAAAAGGTGCTAACCATTCTATAAAGATGCTAACTATGCTATCGGCTCTGATCCGTCTGCTAGTCTCTGGTTCTGGTCTTAACAGACTCCTCATGTGAGTCTGGGTCTGAGTCTCTCCGATGTTTCCTCCTCTAACCATCTTGATACTCTCTGCTCTTTCACCTGTCCACCTGGAGCAAGCAGGTGGTGGGCGGGGCTCAAGGCCTGATCCAGGTTTCTGAATCAGGAAGTAAGACGAGATGAAAACATGTGAAACTAAGTATGAATCACAGCAGAGGATTTTAAAACACGTCAGTTTTTAGTTTGAATATAAAGTTTGAATATAAAAGGTGGAACCTGCTCGAGGCGTAAACAGTAGCTGCAGAAGTTTTAATTAATGAATTAAATGAGTATTAATGAGTTGTTAATGATGATGTTTCAGGAGGACGTGTCCAGCTTCAGTCTGATGGAGATCTGGATGAGCAGCAAGCAAGGTGAGCTCAACCACGAAAACACCAGCGTAACCCTTTAAATCCACACAGCTGATTGTCCTCATCATCTTTGTGACATCACATCATCACGTGATAATAAAGAAAAGTGACCAATCCTATGACAGCAGGTGACACAACAGAGTGAAGACTGAGTCTGTGTCACATCAGCATCCCATAATTTACCCACAGGCCAGTTACAGACTTTGAATAGTTCAAAGGTCAAAGGTGCAGCAGGTCAGAGGTCATGACCTTTGTGTTTGCGTCCCTCAGTGCAGAGACAGATACTGACGCCTCAGGAGAAGGTTCTGGACAAACTGCAGGAGATCAGGAAGGTGAGCGACAGAACCTCCTCACACTGTGTGTGTGTGTGTGTGTGTGTGTGTCATGTGTCTGTTGTATCTGTTGTGTGTTGTTGTGTATTGTTGTGTCTGTTGTGTCTGTTGTGTTGTTGTGTGTCTGTTGTGTATGTCGTGTGTCTGTTTAGTCTGTTGTGTGTTGTTGTGTCTTTTGTGTGTCTGTTGTGTGTCTGTTGTGTGTCTGTTGTGTGTTGTTGTGTGTTGTTGTGTCTGTTGTGTGTCCATATTAAATGATTCCTCTGTTGTGCATTATTTCCCAGCTGTCTTTGCGTCAGATGAATCAGACGCGTTTCTACATTGTGGAGAACAGGAAGTGGGCGGTGCAGGTGAGCCTGCTGATTGGAGGGCTGCCCCTCCTGCTGACCAGAGAGGAGTACGCCCATCTGATCCAGGAACACCTGACCATCAAGAGTGAGTCAGTCCTGGACCAAATATATTCATTATTCATTTATTCACATGTTCACAGGCTCATGGTTTTCATCAGGTTTGATGAAGTGTAAGTGAGTCTTTGAGTATAAACATACTTATATATATATATATGTTTGTGTGTCAGGATGAACCTCTTCACTTCCAGTCTCTAACCCCTCCCCCCTCTGTTTCTCTCTCTGTCTCCTCAGGTCATCTGGTCAACATCAGCCACCACTACCCCAGTCAAGGTGAGAAACGGTTGTCATGGAAACCGCCCTGATTTTAAGGTTATGTGCACTGCAGAGATAAAAATCTATCTCTCTATCATGATGTCATCCTTCTCTGTGTGTGTGTGTGTGTGTGTGTGTGTGTGTGTTGTGTTCAGGTGCGGTGGGGTTGCAGATCTCATGTTTCTCTGAAGCAGAGAGGATCTACATGTTGGCTAAAGACACATCTGTCAACAGCAAGATGCTTACATCCCTCGTCATCCCAGAGATCATGGTAACACACACACACACACACACACACACACACCTTTAACAAGACTTTTTACATTTGTAATTACTGTAGTTTAATTTTTATTTGATGTCAAACATGTGTCCCCACATGTCCACATAAAGACACATGGATCATCTGTTAAAACACGCAACACATACACTGCTTCTAGTTTAGTTAGTTTAGTTAGTTTCTTTAGTTTAGTTAGTTATTTCAGTTAATTTCTTTAGTCAGTTTCTTTAGTTAGTTGTTGACATGAAGCAGCTGCTACAGTTTCACCTGTTACAGATCTTTTTCCTCGTCATTCAGACTTTCTTCAGATTATTAATGTTCCAGATGTTCATCATCATATTAACAGTAAACATGTGTCTGTCTCTTTATTCTGTTTCCGTCTGTGTCCAGGGGACACATCAGATGAGCACATAACTTCACCCCATCCTCTGACATTAACCCTTCAATGTTGTCTCTGTCTCTCAGCTCAACAGTCTGGGAGAAGACGTCTGTCCCCTGCTGGTCTTCGTCAACCCAAAGAGTGGAGGACTGAAGGGACGCGAGCTCCTCTACAGCTTCAGGAAGCTGCTGAACCCTCACCAGGTCTTTGACATCTCCAACGGAGGTCCGCTGGCTGGGTGAGAGACATGGACACTGTGAGGGGACGGACTGAGAGTCCTCAATCAGAGTAGAGGATAAATGACTGAGTGTGTCATGTGATCACAGACCAGGTATCAGACTGTTACAGAAACTGCAGGGACAAACTTTTTTTTATCTACAGATTTGTTTCTTTAAAGGATTCAGTTTTATTTATTTTTTTAACAACATTTAATTTAATGGTTAATTTTCTTTTTGTAGTTGATGAGTTCTTGGTTTCATTACATTTGTTTTGGTTAAAAATCACCAAATCAAAAATTCATACATAAGAAAATAACATCAAACTACAGGTAAGTTCTTTTTTCTAATCCATTAGACAGAGGCCAGAACATGATCAAAGGCTAATTTGATTAATTAATAATGATTAATACTTTGTTCACGTGTCCACAGTCACAGATCATACATTTGACTGATTCACTGAACTGGTTATTCTTCTTCATATCACATCGTATGTGGATATTTCAGAGGTCTGTGAAGAGAACAACAGAAACTTTGGAACTTCCTGTCCGATTTTTTTCAAGATTAAAGCTCTCAATAGCTTTAAATAAAGCTTTGCTGCAACAAATTAAAAGGAACAAAAAAACAAACTTTCTTTTATTTCGTAGGTGATTCTGTGGCTAACTGTTGCCATGACAGAGATCTGTTTTAGATTTTGATTTATTTGTTTTGGATGTATTTTAGCAGCAGGTGCTGAGCACTGAGTGTTAGTGTCATTCACTCTCTACATGGATTGAAGTGCAGACAAGCTCATGTCTGATCTGCAGGGCTTGCAGACTGTAGAACATGTTCACATTGATAATCAACTCCTGACCTTAAAGCTCGGATCAATAATGTGTTTCAGAGCTGTTGTTTCACACCTCTGATGTACAACTCATTGATTAATTAGCTGTTTTCTGATTGGTTAATCCTTCCATCCAACCATTTTCTGCTGTTGTGTGTAATGATTAATTAATATTATTAGGATTTCTTGTCACAGTCACGTGATATAAATGTCAAGAACTCACCTTTAGGCTCTGTCAGGTGTGATGTTGAAACAGGTATTAAATGTAATATTCACACTGTCACCTGTTAAAAATCAATCAACACTCATCTCAGTCAAAGTGTCTCTTCTTCTGTGGTGCAGCCTCCACACCTTCAGGCAGGTCCCCAGGTTCCAGGTTCTGGTCTGTGGGGGTGACGGGACGGTGGGCTGGGTGCTGGGAGTACTGGAGGCTGTCCGACACAAACTGGTCTGTCGTGAGCCGCCCATCGGCATCGTCCCTCTGGGAACAGGTGAGACGCACACCGCCGGAGTTTTAACCTCATGTTTCAGTCGACAGGTGCTAAAGTCCGCTCCATCTCCTCAGGTAACGACCTGGCTCGGATCCTGCGCTGGGGGCCGGGTTACAGCGGCGAGGACCCCCACCACATCCTGGTGTCTGTGGACGAAGCGGATGAGGTCCTGATGGACCGATGGACCATCCTGCTGGATGCCCAGGACATGTCTGAGGACGGCAAGGACAACGGCTTCCTGGAGCCGCCAAAGGTGTGGTCCAGTCTGGTCCAGGTCCTGCAGGACCACCTTCTTCCTCACCATTAGGGCTCTGAGTGTGAGAGCAGGTTGTTTCCTGTGATGTCACTCATGATAAAGAGATTTACATTCTAAGTTCATATATCTGCACGGCCTTTTTTTCTCGACACAATCACAACCAGCGCTCTGTTTCAATAAACCTTAATATATCATTAATATTATTAATTATTATATTCATAAAGTGTTTTTTAACATCATCATTTGGTTTTTCCATATGTCCTTCCAAAATAAAGTGACATTTAATAAACACTCTAAGTTGATTAATATTCAATGAATCCACATCAGCAGCTTTGAAAAAAAATGTGTTCCCTAACAAAACAATTCAATTAATAAGTATTATTTTTCTGTGTAACATCACCTAAATCTGCAGGTTCTTTGACACATGAACAAATCTCATTTACACATGTGTATAGATTTACACACACACACGTGTAAATAAAAGTGCAACAATAATCCTCCGTTATACTGATGCACAAATATAAAACAAAACATTAAGAGAAAACATCACAGTGATAAAATGATTCAATAAAAAGCAGAAGACGGAGAGAGTCATGTTCTCCTCTCAGGTTTACAGTGTGTGTGGCAGCGATGTGCACGTAGTTCAGTTACTTCTCCATCAGCATCAGCCCTGTGCAGGTGTGTAGATGTGCACATGTTTAAACGTGCAGGTGTATAAACGTGTGGGTGTGTTAACCTGTGCCGGTGTGTGCAGATAGAGTCACATGGTCTCCCTGTACCTGTGAATGTGATCGTCTCTGTCTCGACTGTTTCTGTCTCAGATCGTTCAGATGAACAACTACTTCGGTCTGGGCATCGACGCTGAGCTCAGCCTGGACTTCCACCTGGCCCGAGAGGACGAGCCGGACAAATTCACCAGCAGGTAAGTTTACTGTAGTCCACTTCATGTTTCTGCATGTAAAGACCACATTTCCCATCAGCCCCTCTGCTTCCCGCCCCTCCCTACAGGTTCCATAACAAAGGAGTGTACGTGAAGGTCGGACTGCAGAAGATCAGTTACACCAGGAGTCTCCACAAAGAGCTGCAGCTACAGGTGGACACACACAACGTCCCCCTGCCCAACATAGAGGGGCTGATCTTCCTTAATATACCCAGGTAACACACACACACACACACACACAGATCTCATAGTAGAGGAAAAGTCTTTACATTCATTCTTTATGTGTGCGTGTGTGTGTGTCTAGCTGGGGTTCAGGTGCTGATCTCTGGGGGTCAGAGGTCGATGGTCGCTATGGGAAGCCGAGCATTGATGATGGTTTGCTGGAGGTGGTCGGGGTCACTGGGGTCGTCCACATGGTGAGACAAGTCTTCATTTTGGTTCATTCATTTTAATCTATTAATACAAATATTATAAAAATGTATGAGGTGTCAACAGCGACGCTCAATAAACAAATATATACAAACACACTTTTACCTACAGAATAAAAAGGGAGGAAACTAAAAGCCTCCTTACAACTCAAGGCAGAATAAACAGTTGGTTAAAGAAAAACAGGAATCACCTCCTCGTGGTCGTATCCCTCTGCCACTCAGACTAGTTCCAGTTTACTTCCTGTTAATCCAGAGTCAGAGAAAATATTAAACGTTTGTGTTAAATTTTTTTAACAGCACTTCTCCCTATGTAGTGACCATAGAGGAAGGAGGGAGTGATTTCATACACAGCCTTTGAGTCCAAGTGAATGTTTGAAGAGCTCTCGAGGTATCGCGTTCACAAGGTCAAAATCATGTTTTGTGAGGTCACACTGACCTTGACCTCTGACCTTTGACCACCAAAATGTAATCAGCTGATCCTCAAGTCCAAGTGAATGTTTTTATCAAATTTGAAGAAGTTCTGTCAAGACATTACTGAGATATCGAATCCATTTGAATAAGACGGACGGAGGACCTGAAAACAAAATGGCTGCTCTGACTGTCGCCGGGCGGAGGAATTAAAACGAGGTGGAAATAAGAAAATATATATAATGATACAATATGTGATTTCCAGATGTTCCTACTGTAATGAAGGAAGTCACTGATGTTTGAAAGTGATGGATGATCAAAGTGTTGATGATGACGACTGCCAGAAGGTTGAATTGAACAAGAACATCTGAACTCAAAGTCCACGGACTCACCTGTGTGTGTGTGTGTGTGTGTGTGTGTGTGTGTGTGTGTGTGTCTCTGTGTGTGTGTGTGTGTCTGTGTCTGTGTCTGTGTCTGTGTCTGTGTGTGCGTGTGTGTCTGTGTCTGTGTGTGTGTGCGTGCGTGCGTGCGTGCGTGCGTGCGTGCGTGCGTGCGTGCGTGCGTGCGTGTGTGCGTGCAGGGCCAGGTGCAGAGTGGCCTCCGATCTGGGATTCGTATTGCTCAAGGGAACTACATCAGGCTGACAGTAAGTAAACCCATACCTGTCCAGGTGGACGGAGAACCGTGGATCCAACCGCCGGGACACATCATCATCTCTGCTGCCGGACCAAAGGTTCGTCTTCTGTCTCTGTCTCTCTGTCTGTTTATTCCTTCATTAGGGATGATGTTAGGATCAATATCAGTTCGAATTCATCTCCTCATTGATTGGTTATGTCTTGAAGCAACAGTCAGGTGTCCATATGAACTGAGACAGGTGTCTCTTCTGTAACCATCCTGCTGCTCACACTTCCCTTCATAATGTCTTCCCATGGTTTACCTGTAGTTAGGTATACTCTCTTTGTTTCTGTGGTTTGTCGCCGTGTGTGATATTCTTGTGATTTTGTTTGTGAACCGGTTTGTTCTACTCTGTTTTCTACTCTGTGATCTACTCTCTGTGATCTACTCCCTGTGATCTACTCTCTGTGATCTACTCTGTGATCTACTCTCTGTGATCTACTCTCTGTGATCTACTCCCTGTGATCTACTCTCTGTGATCTACTCTGTGATCTACTCTCTGTGATCTACTCTGTGATCTACTCTCTGTGTTTTACTCTCTGTGATCTACTCTGTGATCTACTCTCTGTGATCTACTCCCTGTGATCTACTCTCTGTTTTCTACTCTCTGTGATCTACTCCCTGTGATCTACTCTCTGTGATCTACTCTGTGATCTACTCTCTGTGTTTTACTCTCTGTGATCTACTCTGTGATCTACTCTCTGTGATCTACTCCCTGTGATCTACTCTCTGTTTTCTACTCTCTGTGATCTACTCCCTGTGATCTACTCTCTGTGATCTACTCTGTGATCTACTCTCTGTGTTTTACTCTCTGTGATCTACTCTGTGATCTACTCTCTGTGATCTACTCTTTGTTCTACTTTCTGTTTTCTACTCTGTTTTCTACTCTGTGATCTACTGTGTGTTCTACTCCCTGTGATATACTCTGTGTTTTACTCTCTGTGATCTACTCTCTGTGATCTACTCTGTGTTTTACTCTCTGTGATCTACTCTGTGATCTACTCTCTGTGATCTACTCTTTGTTCTACTTTCTGTTTTCTACTCTGTTTTCTACTCTGTGATCTACTGTGTGTTCTACTCCCTGTGATCTACTCTGTGTTTTACTCTCTGTGATCTACTCCCTGTGATCTACTCTTTGTTCTACTTTGTGTTTTCTACTCTGTGATCTACTCTCTGTAATCTACTGTGTGTTCTACTCCCTGTGATATACTCTGTGTTTTACTCTCTGTGATCTACTTTCTGTGTTCTACTCTGTTTTCTACTCTGTGATCTACTCTCTGTGATCTACTCTCTGTGTTCTACTCTGTGTTTTATACCCTGATCTACTATGTGTGTTCTACTCTCTGTGATCTACTCTGTGATCTACTCTCTGTGATCTACTCTCTGTATTACTCTGCTGTCTTAAGGTCCGGATGTTGAGGAAGTCCAAGCAGAAGCAGAAGAAGTCTTCAGCCGGCCCAAAGGATGGACGTTCAGAGAGTCCCTCCTCTAGAGACGGAGGACACTGACCGACCCGCCTGAACATCACTGTTGTCCCACTGTTTACCTGCTTCCTGCTGCACCTGAGAAGCCGCTGTGGTGTGATGTCGCTCACGTGGCTTTGCAGGGACGACGATGCCGATCGGCCTGAAGGCTGAGGTTTAACTTTCACAGCCTGATTGTGGTGGGAGGAAAGACCGGGATCGCCTCAAGTTTGTCCCAGTCGGGATCACATTTCCGTCCTGCTGACTTAGCACTTACACAATTCACAACAACCATGGTTAATACTTAGCACCTGAAATTGACTATTTTACTTAAAACCCAAGATAGTAAGTATCTAATACACTCATAATAGAGTTTCTATAAAGACTGGGAAAGAGATGATATTGGATTTTGACAATTTCCCAGAATGGATAAGCTTCAGTTGAACAAAAAGAAAATGGAGAGGAGTATTTAACAGAAAAGGTTTCTGTCCAGATGTGACTGTATATGTTCAGTAAGTATCAGTATCAGTTGATATATTGTAAAAACTTTAGTTGTGAAAAATAATGTGCAGCTATAGAGTGATCATGACCTCCTCGTTAGTCGTTTTCTCTTCGCAAAATATGGAGAAACCGAATACTGAAGCACTCCTGGAGAGACTGACGGGCAGTTTTCTAAGAAGCTGCAAACACATTATGTTTTCTTCTTTTTCTCCTTCTTCTTCTGCTGGTGTGAAATCCTTTAGTAACATTGGTTTTCCAAATGTCAGAGAACAGCGTTGATGTTGTGGTGAAGCTCTCCAAAGCTAATGAACATGCAAAATCAAACAAGAAATCCCTGATTCTCTGAAACCACAGGGACCACTGAGCTGCATCAGTGTGTAGCACAAGTCAAGGGACTGATTAAAACTGCAGATAAACTGTAAAGCCTGAAGCACAGTTTGTATTTTAGTGAAGGGGAAGCTTTTCTTTGTTAATGCTTAGAGTTTGAAGAAGCTTTTACTTTGGCAACTACATCAACTGTGATGAGGATATGCATACATACATATATATATATATATATATATGTATAAAAGTGTATATAAGTCCTGCTGTCAATGCTGTGTCACCAAATTAGTTTGGCTTCAAATTATCACCTTGTATTAAAATTATTAACTTTTGCAAAGCAGATTACTTTGCACAAGATATAGATCTTACATGTACACATATTTATACATTATATATATATTATATACACAGACAGTGTTGTTGTGAAGGAAGATGTCTTGTAGTTAAAACATTTTTGTTCCTATTGACTACAATAGAAACTGTGCTGTTGCTTTACCCTGTATTTTCAGTATGCTAGCGTACACAGCTGATTTTCTTCCTTGTTTCTTCCAATAGCAGTTAGCCTTCTGTTGTGTTGTTGGAGCTTAAGTGCATTTTATGGAACAAGAGTATGAAGACGTGTCTGCGTCCAGTTTACTGAGCAGCAAACCCAGAATTAGAATCTGGTACCTCTCTGCTGGTGATGTTAAGTACCATTTAACAACAGAGAAGGACACAAACACTTCTCAATAAGCTGATGTGATGTTCACACTGGAAAATGTTAAAATGAGATTTCTTAAAGTGCCATCAGCAGTGCCCAAAACTAGCTAGAAAACAATCTATATTTAACTAGTGATGTTATTAGCCTTGCAGCACTTAGCTCGTAGGCTTAATCGAAATTCAAATTGTGAAGTAAAAGGAAGCAAAGACGAGAGTGAAATGTTGGAACAAAATGTGTCGCTGTGATAGAGTCAATGTGATAACAGTAAGCACCAGAGACTATCTCAAAACTAGCTACATTACCAGCTCGGCGAGCTAGTTGCTAAGCTAGCTTACAATTAAAAATGAAACTTAAACTCAATTAATTTTAGGAGGAAAAATAAATGAAGGGTAACTATTTACTAAAATGTTAAACTACCATTACTAGCTTGGTCAGCTAGTAGCTGGTTTGCTAAAAGTAGAGCCAAAACAAAACTGAACAAAACTCTGTTAATGTTTGAGGAACAAATACATTTGAGGTTATGAATTTGGTCAAATGTGATAACAAATGTGACACTTTACTATTACAGGACTTTAGCTAGAAGACTAGCTAAGCTAAACTAAACTAGCAACATTGCCAGCATGGAAAACTTGTTAGCTAGCAGACTAGCTAGGGTGCTAAATAAATAATAAATAAAAGTAAACAAGGGACATACTGCTCTCACTGCAATGAGTTCACCAATTCAAATTAATTTGATAAACTAAAGACATTGATAAATCAATAAAGGTAAAGAATATTGAATTCGGCCACTTGTTTGAGGGAATAATTTGTAATTTGAATATTACTGAACTGAACTTGAGACAAACGACTTGCATTCATTTATTTTGTTGTCAAAGGTTTATCAGAATATCACAAATCCATTATTGTGACCAGGCCCAACTTTCCACCATATTTCTGATTGTTGATGAGTGATTTCCCACCTTTTTATACCCTGAACAACGTGCTTCAGCTGCCAGTTCATCAGTTTCTACTCAGACAGAAACCTGAGGAGGATTTTACACCAGAGGTGCTTCGTCCACATTCCCAGAGACGCAGTGTAAAGACACAGCTGTTAAAGACAGTCGTGTCTCATGCTGAAGGTCCCAGCTCTTGATGTAGCCACAACAGTATTTAATCACTGTGCTTTGGTTGTAACATTTAGATTTTTTAAATTCTGCATTAACTGATTTATTTTGATGTTTTTTGGTGCTAGAAGAAACAGTCTGTTACAGCTCTGAGCTTGACTCGAGATCTGAGGATCCTGTTTTCATTCAAATCTTCAAACCAAAGTTCAGAGGCATCTTACGGAGGAGAAAAGCAGGAAGTGAATTTCTGAATGATCCTTAGGTGGTTTCATGTACTGGATGTAATGAACTATGATCAGAGTGAAGGTTTGTGGCTTTGAGTAAACAGAGGTCTGAGATCGACAGCTGATCCATCAGTGGCTGTTAGTTTGATTCTGCTGAGCTTCGTCTGCAGAGGAGCTGAAGCGTCTTGTACAGTTGACTCTGTGCGTGCTGACAATAGGACGTAGCTGTGAGTGCACAAGTATCAGATACTGTCAGTGTTTTATTACATGCATGAAGTACTGTAGAGCTGAGTGTTGTTTTACAGCTGTTTTATCTTCACTCACAAAGGCGAGTCAGTGCTTCAGCTGTTACACAACCACAACTGCTGGTGAGACTCGTTTTAAACACCTAACCATATTTAACTTCACATTCCTGCTGGTCATTTTCCAAATCCTCCAAAACCTTTGGGAGAATCTCCAGTTCCATGTTATATAAAATCAGTATGTGGACTTTAAATAAGTGGGTTATTTTTCAATTGGTTAATCCATCCCTCCGTTTATTCATCCATTTTCTCGAGGTCGTTTTTAATGAAGCATTAAAAACACTCTGTTGTTAAATAATTCTAGGTCACATCTTCCTCGCGGTTCTCATTGATCTTTGATCCTTCGACCGTTTGACCATGAAAAGATGTTGAACTGAACTCGTGGCGTCAACCTGCAGGAAATGTCTGTTGTCAAAAAGGCAAAATGACGTTGACTGTGATGGATTCAGTTTCTCTTCTCTTCTCTGCAAGTTGATTTTCATATAAAATCAGTCAGCTCTGAAGAGCGGAGCTGCGATTCACAGGAATAAAAAAGGAGTAAAAAAGTTAATGAAAAAGGCACAAAAGATCCTGAAGCTCATGTTCCACCACTGACGAGTTTCACCTGTTCAGACTCAACATTCAGGCTGAAGAGACGAATCCGAACTGATGTTGACAAAGCTCAACAAGAGAATCAACAGGCTTTTATTCTGAAACATTAGTTCTTCAAAGGTAGAAAGCAACACTAAAGCTCAAATATACATATAATAAAAAGAAGGAATCCAAAACAGCGAAGTGTCAGGGAATTATTCTTGACAGCAGAACGAGCTGAACACCAGGTTCAATGATGTTTCATGTACTTTCTTTAAGGTTTGTATTTGATGGTTACATTGAACATTATATGTGTTGAGTTCATCCACATATTCACTTCATTTAAAAACTAACGCATTCACTCTGTTTCACACTAAAACAGAGTGAATGTGTTTGAACTGGACTTCAGGTTCTCTGCTCCTCAGACAGCGACGACACTCAGTGAAAAAAGATTCCGTCATTTCATCAAATGGAAATAATCTACATTTCTGCTGCTAAATCTTCAGGCTGCGACAAACACACGGTATTTTCATTATTGATTAATGTGTCAATAATTTTTTCGATTAATTTTTTTGTGTATAACATCAAAAAGTTGTCTATAAAAATCATCTTTCAAATTAGTTTGACCAGAAATGTTCAGCTTAAGTTCAGTAGCTGCAGCAGAATCACTGTTTGTTTTTGCTTGGAAAAAAAAAACTGAAACTTTTAGTTATCAAAATAGTTATTTTTCTGTTCGATCTCCTGATCAATATAACTGATTATTTCAACTCTGCTTTGTTTTAAACGGATTTCCTCCAGATTCATCTCGACAGGTTTTATAAATCGAGTAAAAGACGGAAAACCTCAGTGAGGTGGTTTTATTCCGTCACAGAAGCCAACGTTGACTCTCATAATTAATGTGTCTGTTATTTTCTTCAATAATCGACTGATTGTTGAGTTGATAAAATGTCAGAAAGTCATTTTTCCCTGAGTGAACAGTCGAACAGTTTCCTGTCAGAGGGAACTGGAGAAACTGGAACCAGTGACGTTTAAAATGAATCAGTTATCAGCCCTTTAATTTTCTGTCAGTCATCTGGGCTGTGAAGTCTCGGCTGGTTGGTTCAGTGAGGGGGTCAGCAGGGGCCCAAGAACAGGGTTTGGTCCCGGGGCCCCTCAGCAGGTTCAGCATTCAGTTCGTCTCCCTCCAAATTCATTTTTCTTTTTTTTCGTCATTGCCAAACTCACCGACGCCACAAACCCTTTTTATGTTGAATGTTAAAAATGTGCTTTAACATGACTTTTTCTGCTTCTCTGCATCCGTCGTGCCTCGTAGCGTCCGACATACCTGTCGATGTTAAGCCCCGCCCATCAGGAAGCAGGAAGTGGTTTGGTGTGAGGGTTGAAGTCTGGTAGTGCCTCATCGAAACGCTTCAACACCCTCAGTGTGTGTGTGTGTGTGTGTGTGTGTGTGTGTGTGTGTGTGTGTGTGTTCATGTGCTTCCTGTCGGTGCAGTGGTGTATTCACCTCTAACGTGCTAAGCTAACATGTTAAGCTAACGTGCCTCCAAATGTCACTTGTATGTAGTTTTGGTTTTTGCTGTAACTAGGTTTGTTTTTACCTGAAGTTTATCCAATAGATGACATGTATATTTTTTTAGTTTAACTGTCAATTGCACTAATTGTTTTACAGACGCTCTTAGATGTGATGTTCAGGATTATTAATGTTGTAATAATGAAGCTAAATATATAATACATATATATTATATACAGTATATATATATATACTGTATATAATATATATGTATATATATATATATATATATATATATATGCGTGTGTGTGTTTAAATAATAATGATTCTTATATGTGTTTAATCACAATAAACTAAAGACCATCTAAGAATTAATGACATCCTGTTTCTGTCACATTTTAGTTTTTGTTTATTTTCTGTTCCTGTAAATTAAAAAAGTAAAAGTCCTGCATTTAAAATGTCACCAAAATAAAAGTCTGGGCATGTCATTTGCCTTACAGCCTTACATCATACAGTATTAATAATTAATGATTGATAATGACAGTATTCAGTCAGATGCAGTGTCTTAAGGGAGCTCAGAGGGGGAACCAGTGTGTGTGACAGTGAACGCCACATCACCACATTTTTATAGTCTTTAAAAATTCTTTTTAGATGTTGCAGAATTTAATATTTTATTATGTTTTTGGGTTGTGAACGTAACTTTTACAAGGATTTTACGACAGAATGTAAAGTATAAATCCACAGGTTTGGTTCATGAGGTGTGGTGATGTTGTGTTTGACCAGCAGGGGGCAGAAGGCCAACAATTTACCCTGAATCAAAGACAGTTTATGATGGAGAAGAGGAGTCACTCTGCACTTCTGCAGGTGTCACATGACTTCCTCTAGTGTCTTCTCGCCCTGCACCACTTAATAACAGTAGAGTGATGGTACAGTAACAGGACCGTTAACTGAGGAGACTAGTTACTAGTTACTACTAGTTACACTTGCAAGTTGTTGAAAAAATTAATATAAAGTTTGATCTAAATTAAACGTGCTGTAAAAAAAAAAAAAAAAAAAAAAAAACCTGGACATGTCATTTTGCATAATTATAGGAAGTCTGGGAATTTCTTTATATATATATTGAAAAAAGAAAAGAGAGTAAATCCTTTTCAGTGATAAATTGTAAAATTGACCTTTAGCACATTTCTCATAGAGGCGATCGGTCCTGCATCAGATAGTGAGTTTCACTGTGAGCAGAATGTTGTATTCATGTCTGCAGTGCTGTTGATTTCAGGGGGCGTTTTGTTACTTTTCTGCAATTAAAAAGAAATGAACGACATCATTTATATTTTTAAAACAAAGTTGTGACGATTATTTTCATTATCAATTAATCTGATTATTGGATTTGTTTACAAAAAACAGCTGTTAAAAGGTGATGTTAACACACAGCTCAGCTGATGCAGCACAAACAGAGGGAAACAGAACAAACCAAAAAAGACAGCTCACAACAGAAGAAGCAGAAAAGACAAAATAAAATTATCTTTATTATCATGTATTCTTTAATTATAATAAATTAAATTAAAAATAAATAATAATTATTGTTATTGCCACAGTCATTGTACTTCACTATAATTACCATAGAGGAGTTTTATTTATTTTTTTAAACTAATAATAACTTTTATTATTTCGTCTTTTGCCGGTAGTTACAGGCTTACAGAATTAATGGTGTAGGCTAATTACTGCAGCCATGTAATCAGACCTATTTTAAATATTTCAGTCCTCGGAGTGAGACCTCTTCGTTTGTTAGCTCCTCTCTGGTTGAGTCGCACGTCAGAGGGAAATTCCAGTGGGGAAGGAAACAACTTTATGAAGCTGACACAAATCTGGTCTCACCTGCAGGAACCTGTCGCGTGTTCTTTAGAGAATAAAAATCACTTCATTAACTCGGATTAAAATAATTTCTCTTTATAAAGTGTAATGACGCGGTCGTGTCGCGTCATGACGCACTCCAGTTGAACTATAGTCACTGTAATGGATCCACTGGTTCAGCATGGGCATGGCGAAGTGATGAGCAGAAGTCAATTGAATTGAAGTGGACTGTCACTCATAGTTGATGTTGAGAAGCCGACTGTTCACCTGAGCGAGCTAAACAGGTAAGAATACGTTAACTACCCGCTGTGTGAAACACCTGAACTACACGGTTGTAAGTGTTAATCATTAATCTTGTCGTTATCTGCTACAACACTGGGACTTGGCAGCTCGCTTTGTTATGCTACTCACTTCCTTATTAACCAGGTAACTTTGAGAAGTCGCACCAGACTCCGTGTTAAAAATGGGAGCTTGAAGTTTTCGTTCATGTCAGCAAAGACACACGAGACTTTCGTCAGCAGTCAGGACATGTTTCATACTTATGGAAACCACCGGTTAATTCGGCATCTATATATCCGACATGAAGTCTTTGTTTTAGTCAAAACTTTTACTTTTCTTCAGCTTCACTCGCTGGATTTCCTCGAACCGCCGCCCGCACTCTCTCGGCAGCAGAGGAGTCGGAGTGGCTGAGCGGACAAACTGTACAGAAAGATTCAACTCTGATTTAAAGTGATCTGTCATGTCGTTTTTACACTTGTCTGCAACATGTCTGGGCTCATTAGACTCTAATATTAATAGATTTATGTTCTGCAGTTCAAGGTCCTAAGGTGAAAAGTGAACAACTCTTTAATTGGCAGATTTCTGAGCTGAGTTTCGTGTTGTGTTTTACGTTCGGAGCCTACGGTGTGAGAGCTAGCTCCAAGTTAGCTCCCAGTTAGCACGCACAGGTAGCGGCTCGGCTCTTTGAGGACGCCCCATGACATGGGGCCGACAGGCCGACATAAACCGCAGCGCTGCCCGCACTGTGGACGCGTTGGCCGGTAACAGCTGTCTGAAAACGGCCACTTTAACGACAGAAACTACCAGAATAGTCCGGTAGTGCTAGCTGTTAGCCACGGAGCTAGCATGGTTTAAACAGGCGCGTTCACGTGCGGGAACGCGCGACGCTAAATAGCAACAAGTGTCAGGGGAATCAGTAACCAATAATCAATGATAAATAATAATAATAATGAACTTTCTGTGACGCAGCGCTCTGCGTAGAAATGATCCACTGAAGAGGAATCAGTGTTTATTTAATATTACTGGTCGCTCACATCATCTTCATCCTCCTCCTCATCATCAGTTCATCAGACTTGTATTTACCTCTTGAATTAACCTCCTGAGGGGCGGGGTCCCCTGGAGCTCAAAGCTGATTATCTGATTTATTGATTAGTGGATTGACAGAATTAGTTTTCAGTTAAAATTCACTGGTTCCAGTTTTCTGTGTCTCTGACTTCACTCAGGTTTCAGGAGTAACGAGGCATTTCTCATTAGTCACTGAACGGTCGATCGATTGACAGAGAGAGTAACTCAGATATATCGATAATGAAAATAATTGTTGTTTGCAGTTCTATGAGGGAACAATACGATCTTAAACTAAAATAATTCATAATTCAAACTACATTTTGACTGAGTCCCTCCAGTAGACCAGCTCCAGAGGACGGAGGGTGGTGGTCCTGTCAGAGTTGATTAATGAAACTGTAGACCCACAGAAACTTAGCCTCTCTGTTACTGAGTTTACACTGTTGTGTTTGACCTTTACAGACACCATGGCTGAAGACGACCACTACCTTCATACTACC